TGTGTGAATTGTGTCATACCATACTCCCCCAACTCTCTCACCATCAAATTCTAGGATACTCGAGAATCATCAAGAACACTTAATTTCTTGTGAGAAAACAGACCGAAAATTATTTTTTCTACATTTAAAATCGATGAAAAAATTCACAAACTCACTAGCACAGCCTGAATCGCGAGTATTCCATCGAGGTCTGCGGGTGATGTCATCACTATAAGCTGCTGATAGTGACGTCACTCGCAGGCCCAAAATTTGATGAGGATGGAGTTAGGGGAGTAGAGTATGACACAATTGACAGTTTATCAGTTTATGGCCGAGTTCGTTTTTGTCATCTTTTCGTCGATTTACTCCGAAATTTTGACAGGCACGTTATTTGTAAATTGGAACTGTCTGATCCAGTCACGTGTCTGTCAAAATTTCGAAGCAAATCGACGAAAAAGATGACAAAAACGAACTCGGCCTCCTATATAGTACCCATTTATATCTTACTAGATTTTGATTGACACATTACATAACCCAGCATAATCAGATACTCCTGTTGTTGTAAGGTCTAGTTCATAGTTGGGGAGCTGGCGTCAAAAACATGCAAGAGTTTTCGCAAGGCGGATATTTTCAAAATAGGTCGTACTTTAGTGCTAGAATGCTAGTGTACAGTCAGCACTCACAGTTCCGGGACAGCTGGCTCTGGGACGCGGGCAAAGTTGTAATTTTAAGAACCATCTAAACTGTTTTCTCAAAGCTCAAAATTTATAAAAATTTTGCACATTATCTGTTTGAAGGTCACAGATAACGTATGTAAATCGTCAGACGTCTAGTTCGTTGCAAAAAGGGGGTCAGACGTCCTCAAAGTTTTTATTTATGGCATTTTCTTCGGTGTCCTGTCAAAATATATTTTTGCAGGTATTTTTTTTTTTTTTTTTTTTTTTTTTTTTACGGATATGCGCACTCGCAAGGAAATGTCCTATCACGCTCGAGAAGCGGCAAGTGCGCGGAGATGTCGGTGTATGTTGGTCTTGAAACGGTTCAGGTTGTAACCTGCAGGGAAAACCGTCGCAGGGAGTTTATTCCACAGCGATGCTGTTCTCCAGAGATATGAATTCTGATATAATGAGGTTCTTGGTGCCTCTAGTTTGACAGTAAATTCATGGTTACCGTCTGTTTGACGGGTTCGCCTGGTAGGTGCTACTCTCGGTGGAATCATACGTGCCAACTCTTCAGAGCATTTTCCGTGATAGTACCTGTAGAAGAGAGATAAATCGCCCACAGATCTGCGATGTTCGAGACCATCCAAGTTACGAGTAAGTGCGGGGTCATTGATCAGCTTGATAGCTCGTTTTTGCACGGTATTCAAAAGCATTAAGGTATGTTTGGGTGCTGCACTCCATATATGTGAGCAGTACTCCATAGTTGGTCGAATCTGGGCTTTGTAGAGTGTCAGCAATTGGCTTGGTGTGTACAGATGTCTTGTACGAAATAGCACCCCCAGCTTTTGGGAGGCCCTTTTAGCAATATCTGCCACGTGACTGTGCCAAGACATGTTGGTCTCTGCAGTAACCCCCAAGATGTTCAACTGACTCTGTAATGTGACAGCACTTCCAGATAGCATGATGTTTGGCTCACCGGTGCTGGTCTTTTTTGAAAACAGAGCTGCTTGGGTTTTCTGCGCGTTGAACTGTACAAGGTTTTTGTTACCCCAGTCCTCTATTATCTCCAGGTCGTTATTTATCTGCGATATTTGAGTTAGTCTAAGATGATGGAATTCACGTGCGGAAAGACCTGTGGGTGGTATGAGTGAGGAGACTACATTGCCATCGTCTGCAAAGCAATAAAGTGGATTTACTGTTTTATCTATGAGGTCATTTATGTAAATCAGGAAAAGAGTTGGCGAAAGGATTGCTCCCTGTGGCACACCAGCATTTATTTGGTAAGAGTTGGAGTTCTGACCATCCAGTGCAACATAAATGAATCTGTCCTTAAGGTAACTTTCAAACCAAGTGCAAAGTTTCGGCGATAATCCCATTGCTTTGAGCTTGTTGAGCAGATTTTCATGCCAAACTTTGTCGAATGCTTTAGATATATCTAAGGCAATTGTTCTTGTTTCACCCCGCAACTCAATCGCTTTTTGCCATAAGTGAGTGACGTATGTAAGTAAATCGCCAGTTGACCTATATTTTCGAAATCCGTATTGCTTATCGTTGATAATTTTGTACTTTTCCAAGTACTTGGTTAGGTGATTGTTCACAACTCTTTCCATTACTTTTGATATCACCGGAAGTAGAGCAATTGGTCTATAGTTTAACGGATCTGTCTTTTTTCCTTTCTTTGGAATGGGTTGTACTGCGGCAGACTTCCATGATGATGGATATACTCCTTGCCTGTAAGACAAATTGAATAATTTAGCGAAAGTTGGGGTGAGTTCGTTGGCGCAATTTTTGAGTACTATTGCGGGAATGCCATCCGGACCCATTGCTTTGTTTGTATCCAGCTTTTTTAGGGATTTTCGTATTTCTCTGTGACAAAAGTGTACCTCTGGCATACTATGGGAAACCCTTTCAATGAACGGTGGAGTTTTTTCCGTTTGGCACTGTTAGGTTGGAGTTGGAGGAAAACATTTGGGCAAGCATATTGGCTTTTTCCTCTGATGTTGTGGCTAAGTGATTATTTTTATCTGTAAGTGGTGGTATGGATGACTTGGTGAAGTTAGATCCAACAGCTTTTGCAAGAGACCAAAAAGACCTAGAACTACTTGGACAAATATATTTGAAGAAAATGCCATAAAATAAAAACTTTAAGGACGTCTGACCCCCTTTTTGCAACGAACTAGACGTCTGACGATTTACATACGTTATCTGTGACCTTCAAACAGATAATGTGCAAAATTTCTATAAATTCTGAGCTTTGAGAAAACAGTTTAGATGCTTCTTAAAATTACAACTTTGCCCGCGTCCCAGAGCCAGCTGTCCCGGAACTGTGAGTGCTGACTGTACACTAGCATTCTAGCACTAAAGTACGACCTATTTTGAAAATATCCGCCTTGCGAAAACTCTTGCATGTTTTTGGCGCCACCTCCTGGACTATCAAGTTTTCAACATTTTACGCTCTCAAACAAATCATATTTTTTCTAGTAAATACATATGTACTAAAAACGTAAGGTAATGTGTACCACAAGTATTCATGGCGCGTACGTCCCTGTACGACAGTTTTTGAGCATTGTGTACCAAACTTCCATATTTAGAGTCTGGCAACGCTGCTTAACACAGACGTTGAAATAACAGGACAGAATACATCATAGGCCTGAATGTTTTCCAGGGATAATGAGATACCAAAAATTCAAAATTTTATTATTGAAATTGACATAAAAAATAATTTCAACGCAGGTATCATTGGAATTATTTCTGCACATCTCGGCAGACAGCATAATTATGTACTTTACATAGGTACAGGAAAAACTTCCGTTTTCAACTTTTTCATACACACAAACGTTTTTAATTTTTATTCCATTGAAAATGTCTTTAGGTTAGGTTAGGGATCAGGGATCGTTAAATAATAAATTTTAAAAGAATGACAAAACGCGCCAAATTCATGTTCTTTTGAGATTGCACTAAACGTGAACTGATTCAGTGTTGAGTGCAGAACTCGGACAGCACGAGTTTTACCAACAGAAAACGCTATTAGATTTGCACTAAAAACCCAAAACCAGCAAAATTGAAATAGATTTTGGAATTTTTATATCCAATTTTGACTTGGAATTAATCAATTGAATACATTTCATTTATAACACTCCGCTACAGAGCAGATTCTTTGCTACAGAGTCTTTACATTTAACTTTTATCGAAGAACTTGCATCCTATCTGGCAACATCGCTTTTGCTCATCAAATCTATTTATTTATATTTATTTTCATTCATCAAAATGCAAGTGAACGCAGAGCGTGTGTGATTTTTGAATCTCGATTAATTATTATTTAAAATATAGTAAATTAAGGGTGGCGGGAAGTTAAAATTAAGTTAAAATTAAATTTTCCTCATAAATTAATCAGTAAATATGAATTTAAGCGTCCTATTCGTTGTAATATTGAATTTATTCGTTCTAAAATACACAAGTGCCATTGGAAATGGTAAGTAAACTTTTTATGTTCGTTCTATAAATAAAATATAAGGAATTTAACGCTAAATTTACTCAAAAATGATTGTTGGAAAAGTTGCATTTATTATATTAATAATATTGGTATTTTCAGGATTTAAGACATTATTTATATTGATAACTTTAGATTTACTAGTTACCTATGTTATAATTTATTAATAAACTATGAAATTTGTTCAAAATAATCATCTCTTAAACGTTTTAACATAATTCTTTATCAAATTTCAATTGACAATAATAATTTTTATATTTAGAACGCAGGAAATGAAGAACCAAATGAGATAAACATTCACATTCTTTAATTATCCAGTGATGTAATTTCTGTATGGCCTATTTTTCACTTTAAACAGATGCCGATACCGATTGAATTTAATCGGTTTAACACATACATACATAATAAATTAAGTATCTTTTTAATTTAATATTATATCTATAGTAGGTTCATTTTTAAAAATATTTGTTTTTGAAATGAGCTCTTATGAAAATTGGACATAAAGGAAAGTGAGGTTATGATGTTCAGTCAAACAACATCAACAGGAATGAGTAAATTTACTGGTTAAATTTTTATTTATTTCTAGTGAGATTTGATTAAAAGTGCAGTGAATTGTTGGTTTTTATACAAAATAAAATGTAATTTTGTATAACAACAACAAAAAAAACCCAGTTTTACAATGTGGAAACAACTTAAAATTGGAATAAGCGGATTCCTCCTTATCGCGTCCAGAATATGGAATTGTTTGTGCTTTACTCTAAAAAAACAAAGTAGAGCAATGGCCCAGCATCAGCCTGTTAAGTATGATATATTCCCCTTATCCCCATTATCAAGACACAGATTGAGTATAGTAAAACGTAAAATCTTAGTGCTAGATTTGGACGAAACTTTAATTCACTCGCATCATGATGGTGTCGTAAGACAAACCGTAAAGCCTGGTGTTCCAGCTGATTTCATCCTAAAAGTAACCATTGACAGACACCCAGTGCGGTTTTTTGTACACAAAAGGCCCCACGTTGATTTCTTCTTGGATATTGTATCTCAATGGTACGAGCTTGTGGTTTTTACAGCCAGCATGGAAATATACGGGGCGGCAGTAGCCGACATACTAGACTCTGGCAGAAACATTTTGCATAGAAGATATTACCGGCAACATTGCACTCCAGACTTTGGCTCATACACTAAAGATTTGAGCGCTATTTGCAGGGATCTTTCTAGCGTTTTTATTTTGGACAATAGTCCAGGGGCTTATAAAGCGTTTCCTGATAATGCTGTGCCAATTAAGTCATGGTTTTCGGATCCTTCGGATGTGGCTTTGCTGAATTTGCTTCCTATGTTGGATGCACTGCGTTTTACAGTTGATGTAAGGTCGGTGTTAGGGCGAAACTTGCATTTGCAACGAATTTGGTAGTGACTTGAATTAGTAATTTTATGTACAATGTACATATATGAATATATTTTCCAGTAATCTTACAAGCGAAGTTAATTTTATTTGAATTTGACGTTCCTCATACCTCCTAATAAGGAATTACTGCAAAATGTACTCTCAAATCAAGAAAATTTCTGTTTATTTATTTAATTTTTTTAAATAAGTTTGTGTTCTTTCTTTTGTTAAACTAAGCTTAGTTACTTATATAATTGATAAATATTCCTAATTGTTAGATTTTTTAGGCTAAATATTTTGTGTTGTACCATTTTGTTTTTGGTAGGTGAGTCTTATGTACAAAAGAATCAATGAATTTCAGTTTGTATCTACAAATGTGATACCTAATAAAAAATGTTTGATAAATGTTTTGATTTATTTTTAATGAGAGTCAGTATGGTCTTCTACATAAATTTCATTGAAAATGAAATCATTATTATATTTTAGAGCCTCAAATTCTATTCTGATGTGTCACTTGTAATTTTTTAGAACAAAAAATCTCCATTTGTAGAGATCTTCATCATATATCTCCAGGAATATCTTGGGATCTCTAGGCATTTCCTTGGATTTCCATGGAGATCATTTGAATTTTGACTAAAACCCCAATATCATTTCCAAATGACCAATTAGAATCAAAAAATTAAAAAGAAAATTTCCTTTTTTTGATTCATTTTTTTTTTTGAGTCATGACAAGGTTAAGGAAAATTGTCAATATTTCCATTAAAATTTGAACAAATCAACATAAATTATACACTAGTAGAAAGAGCATTGAATTCTTTATAAATCAGTGCTAAATTTGAGTTCAAATTTGTCGTATTTGAAGAAAGGAATTCAGGTATATACTCCTAAAAGTTTGAAATTACTCAGATTCCTGGAAGTATTTTTGAAAAAATTCCAAAGTTGATTTGTTAAAAATTTCATAAGGATTTAAAAAAAAAATCATAATTCTATTTCTGAGCCTCAGATTGACTTCAGATTTGTTATGTTTGAAGAAAATACTTACTTTAATAATGAATTCCTGAAAGTTTCAAATTGCTCAGATTCCTGGAAGTATTTTTGAAAAAATTCTAAAGTTGATTTGTTAAGAATTTTACAAAGATTTTTAAAAAAATTCATAATTCTATTTCTGAAGCTCAGATTGACTTCAGATTTGTTCTGTTTGAAGAAAGGTCTTTAATTATGAATTCCTGAAAGTTTCAAATTGCTGAGATTCCAGGAAGTATTTTTAAAAAAAATTCCAAAGTTGATTTGTTAAGAATTTTGCGAGGAATTCTGATATTGATGAAATTTAATAGCTCAAATACGTTTTGAGCAATTGACCTTCAAAGTTGAATTTTAGTCGAAATTTAATCAAAAACCTGAAGCTGAATTTTCTCGGATTTCAAGTGATTGAAGCATAAAAATTTTGAAAAAAGAATCCAAATATATTATTGACTTGCAGCAACCTTTATATATAAATGATGAGACTCCATCAGAACTTATTGACTTATTTCCTTTTAATCTTCCAACTGTCATTTTTATATTACATCACTGAAAGAAATGACTATATCACAAAAATAGGATTTAAGAATAAATTGGGCACAAATAAACGCTATAGACTGATTTGAATGAAATAGTCAGTAAATTGCTGGGCATCATGATAAAACACTATCACCAAAAATCATCAACTAATAACAAAAAGCCCAGAAGTTTCTAGAATTAGATCTATGACACATTTCAATATGCAGTATTATCTATTCACAATCCGATGTCCAAACCTAAAAGTAAAATTTATCACCTTCCAGTGCTATTTGATAGGAAAAAGTGATAAATTTACCTTTACCTTTGGACTACGGATTGTCAATAAGATTTATGCTTCTTTGATTTTAGCTTTAGGTGACATTATATGTAAGTAACCTCCTTTCATTACTGAATCTATGTTTCAAAATTGCCATTTAAACTTGGCTAGTTTCATAAAGTATCTGTGCTTTTGCTACGTCAGGAACCAGGAATCGACATTTGATCAAACATGAGAAATTAGAATTTCCAACTTTGAACTATTTTGTAAACCATCAACAAAATCTAGAAGTTTCAAAAAATTTGGAAAAACTCTCCAGACATTAGAACTGCTTGAAATACTCATCTAGAATCGAATTCAAAAAGTTCTCAAGATTAACATAATGTAATTTTTTTCTTTCTGAGAAATGTTACCGAGAAAATGTGGAGAATGCTGCAATCAACTCCTGAAGTTCCCAGAGAATCTACAATAGAGAGAAATTAGAATTTGAAATGGCCAAGGCATAAAATAAAAATGTTTTACTTGAACAACACTCGTATTAGATTTTCATGGAAGGCCAAATATATAAAATCTATTTTCGTTTAAGTATTATGTCGTAAAATACTAGAAACGTTATAAACCTCATTTAAATTGATAAAAATTTATGTCCTGCATTGTATTACTCATATGCATAAATCAAAATACAAATTTTATAAAATGTCTTATAAAACGAATACTTTATACTATTTTTCCTATTTTGGTATTGTTTAATTAAAAAAAACAAATTTTTCTTGGAAATTTTATTCTCATATTTCCTGATTTCATATGTTTAGGTTGGTAACACTTCATGCCACATATAGAAATCTTCTATTATAAAATCGCGAATGACAGTTCGATGGCCATCAGTCAGCCAGTGTAACCAACCCCTGATAAGTAAAAAAGGAGTGTCACAAAGAGCTTCTTTTCGAAACTACTTTTAGTGTCGAAAAGACTTCGATATGACACCAAAATAGAAAAAGTATGTTAACCAGCATAGAAGAAAATATCAGAAATATATAAAAGAAAAAAAAAAAAAAAAATCTGCAGTGGTATATATGATACTTGCACTTTAATGATACAGTGTGGTCATTTTATCTTGACTATTTCACTAAAGTGTATTACACTGGCAATAAATTCGGAATTCAGGTGACAATATTGCTACCTGGACAATACCGACAACATGGTATTTCAGCTACCATTTTTTGACATTGTCAAACTGATATTTTTAATTTGAAGTTTTTATTCATATTTTTGTATTCTATTTATTTTCGAAATTTTACGTGAAATAGTCATGACGAATACTACTCGAGAAAAAATTGTGTAGGCAAAATTGTTGTCAAGGTTTTATTCAAGTTTGTTGCTTTTTGGCAATTTGGCGAATGACATTTTTGACAAAATCACGAGCCGTCATTCGCGAAATTGCCAAGCAACAAACTTTCATACCTTTCGAAAATTTTGCCGATAAAATTTTTTCTCTTGTGATTTTATATATGACTATTTCACTAGTGTTTTACACTGGCAAAATATCATAGGAACGGCCGGTTTCCTACTGACAAAACTCCTACCTGTTCCTACCTGGACGAAACCAACATGATGGTTTTTCAGCGACAAAATTTTGTGTGGTTAATGCTTAGAGCAGGTAATTTCCTAGGTGGGAGGAGTATGAACATGGAGTTGGAAAATGAAGCCTTTTTTTTTAGGTATTTTGAGATCTAAAATAATGGCGGTATAGCTAATTCAATGCTTTACCTGTCATTTGGTGTACATTTAGTTTCATAGCAGAATGGCGCGTTCCTACTCCTTATGTCCGTAGGACAGCACTTTACCTGCTCTAAGGGTTAATGTAAAAAACTATTGAGTTTGACAAGTGTCACCTGAAGAAAATAAATTTTCCATATTAAAATTTGACTTGTTTCTCTCGTGAAATAGTCCAGTCGAATACCACTCAACAAAAAATTATGTAGGCAAAATTATTCTCAAGGTTTTATTCAAGTTTGTTGGTTTTTGTCCAAGCGACAAACTTTCATACCAGTCGAAAATTTTGCCAACAAATTTTTTTCTCTTGTGGTATTATACAGGGTATCAATTTAAAAACTTCCCTATTATCTCGAAGTAGAAAAATTTTCGAAAAAATCCCTGAAACACGTCAATTATAATTTGAAGGGGGATGAGTTTTTATGGAAAATTCACCTTCTCTCTTGCAACCCCCTAGCCCCCAGAGCCACCCCCTAGAAAATTTTAAATGGGAAGGGGGGTCAAGTGATACATTATTTTGCAGGGTTTTTAATTCCATACATTTTGGTACTGAATTTTGGTCCCTAAGTGTACAGGGTGGTCATTTTATCTTGATAACATTTGAAACTGTCATAATTTCTTTATTTTTGAAGTTATTTAAATAAATAAAAAAAAACATACTGTAGGGTTGTTTTCCAAGTTTTAGATAGGGTGGACAAAAAACAACAGACTAATATATTTTGACAGTTATGCACACAAATAGCATTTTTTTAAATGGAACACCCAGTAAATTTTTAGTTTGTTCAATAATATGTTTCATTAATTCTGATTGCAATATATACAATACAATACAATTGAATACAATTTACTTCATATTTACATGCAGAAATGTTTTATTTATTCTAATAGGAAATTCTGTCTACCTACCTATCTTTGCAGGTAATCTGTGTAGGTAATCAATTTTCTCAGTTAGAATTAGAATTAATAAACCATTTTTGCATGTAAATATAAAGTGAATTGTATTCAATTGTATTGTATTGCATATATTGCAATCAGAATGGAACATATTATCAAACAAACTAAAAATGTATTGCGTGTTCCACTTAAAAAAATGCTATTTGTGCGCATAACTGTCAAAATATATTAGTCTTTTGTTTTTTGTCTATCCTATCTAAAACTTGGAAAGCAACTCTACAGTTTGTTTTTTTATTTATTCAAATAACTTTAAAAATAAAGAAATTATGACAGTTTAAAATGTTATCAAGATAAAATGACCACACTGTACAACTGTTTTGGAAATATTGACAGTTGAAAATTGACTTTTTTGCTACTTTGACAGGTTGTAAAACCTAAACGTAAATACAAAATCTCGACAAAAAAAAATTTGAAATTTCGTCGTTTTAGTAAGAAGGTACCTACCTTATGATTTAGATTTTGGAAAACTTTGAAAGGTCATAACTTTTTTTCTATTATAGATAGAAAGCTGAAACTTTCACTGAATTTTATCCCAATCAAGGGACTACAATCCCTGAAAATTTCAGCTCATTTGCTCTTATAGTTCCTGAGATAAAATTGTGTTAAGCCATTTGGGGTGATTTATCAATTTTTCAATTTTTCTGAGTGCCTTTTTTCATAGATTTCGGCTTCAAATCTGAGAATAATTTAGTGTATGGATTTTGGGGGATGATGATTGACAATTAGGATACAAAATCTCGACAAAAAAAAAATTGAAATTTCATCGTTTTAGTAAGAAGGTA